TCTAAATAGCATAAATAGATGCTTATTAGGTTATCAGCATTGCCCAGTTCGTATACTATTTATTTTTCAAATGAAACTCAAATTAATATAAAACATTCATTTGGTTAAAATAATATATCGGTTTGATTAACATAAAATAGTTTATACAGGCAAACTATCAGTTCTATTTCATGTAAAAAATTAAACAACCCCTAAATAAAATACAAAGATAAACAGTATTTGTTAATTATTATTTCTTTTATTGCTGACAATATTCCCGTGGCGGAGCACGGGCGGTTAACTAGTACTTATTTAATACGCAAGCAGGATTTTTGTGACAATTACTCCTCCGAAACTACTAAACCGATTGACATGTTTTTGGTGTCATTGGAAAGAGCGTAACGTGAAGTTGTGCAGGAAACTTTCTTTTTAGGTGAATAATTAGAGAGTGAGGCCCTGGAGCTCTTTAAAGTTTCGTATTTCTCCATAAGATTAACATGGGAAACAAAAATTGTTTTGGAACTCCAGCTGTTGTCAGAAATCAAATATTAATAATTGGTCTCCATGGAAGCATGAGAAAATTCACAATGTTTACATTTGCTTTAACATTTAATTGTAAACAACCAGAACTGTCAAATGCATATTTCACAATTTCAGACAGCTGATCCAAAAAAATAAAACAACTATGTAGTAGGACCTTGGGTTTATTTAATCTTAAACTTTATGATGGATTATTTATTTCAATGATTATGAAACAGATTTTTCCCGTTGTGAAGCAAAAATTAAAAGTGAGAAGAAGAACATATGTTAATTGTAAACACTCAATGTGTAAATTATCTATGTTGTATTAAAAATATGTATAGTTTTGGATGTTGGTTTTTGTTTAATGATATAAGTTATTAATTATAGAATTTTTATTTTAAGGATTTGGCATATGAGTATGCCTATGATGAATAACACCATTTCAGAGTTCTGCCAGTTTTTGCCTAACTCAGTTCTGTAGCGTTTAAAGTAGCCTACACCTTATTGTCTAAAAATTGGCTAAATAACTTATATCTCAATGTACGGTACATTATAAAAGCTGACAGCCTTTTTACGTTGACTTAAATTGTAAGCTTACCTTTTCCCGTCCATGGGCAGTTTGATAGTTAAAAATTAACCCTTTAAACTGGAATAGGACTGTTATGTAAATTGTGAGTATTTCCATTAGTTAATAATCTTTTAGTTGACTATTTTCAAATCATCGGAAATTATGACTGTTATTAGTTTAACATAATTTTCTCATGCTTCCATGGAGACCAATTATTAATATTTAATTTCTGACAACAGCTGGAGTTTCAAAACAATTTTTGTTTCCCATGTTAAGTTATTTGTTTATAAATAACTCCTGTACTTCTTTGTAATCGCTTGATTTCGAGCAACACGTACACTAGTTTATGTTTAAAGTGTGTTCCTTATGTTAAATGTGTGATTCTAATGATATGTGCTTAAACTGTACCACTGTACCATTAATATTAGTGAGTAAAGTGGTGTATGGATTTCATAACCATTATTTTACTAGAGACCGTTGTATTTAACCACAACGGGCACTGTTGCTAGTTTACATATATTTCGTTATAACAACAAGTAAAATGGGTACAATTTATGCTATTTAGTGTTGCGGAATAAAACTCTGCATGCGCCCGCTCCTGTTTTACTAGTGAAGCGCCTCCTCGAGGGTTAAAGCTTGTTGCTACAGGGAAGGGAAAAGTGTTTGGGTAGTAAAATTGTAATACTACCGGGTGTCCCAAAAATAATGGATCAAAAGTAATCTGGCATTAAAACTTGATTATTAAAGATAAAAAGTTAACATTATATTTCATCTTTTACTTACTTTCTTAGTTTTTCCTACTATGGTTTCATCTCCTAACCTCTTTATGTTCTGCATTATTTGTCAAAGAAAGTAAAGTCAGTGTTTGAGCTCTGACCCCACATTGTGGCACATTTCATTAGATATTTTTCCAAATATGCTTCTGTTTCTTTGCTTTACGTTTGTCTATGCTTAACATCGACAAGCAATACGCTTGATCTTTCACAAACCCCCAGACAAAAAATACACGATTTCGTCTCTATAAACCATATTCAACATACTTATTCAATAAACTCCTATATCAACTGTGCTTTTGACAGGACCTCAGGCTGTACGCCCAGAGACTACCCACTAAAAACCTCCTCTACTCTTCAGACACTAGCCTGTGAACACTTGTCGCACTTCATAAAAACTAGGCCAAGTTTGCCTATGCCCGAAGGGCTGACACCGTGTCTAGCCGTTCATTTCTTACAAAATCTAGACTGTGATCCGATCTAGATCGTACTTTTTGAAGGACATTCCGGACAAAGTTCGACCAGTAGTCCCAGTTGTCCTCACCCTCCAGCAAGGTCTCACAAAGCGAATTTCCCATATAGGGAATAAGCTATTACCGTAGTACTCTTGGTAAGATTATTGGTAAGTACCCAGGAACGATTTACTTTTTGAAGTCCCTCCCTAGAGGCCAAAAACACAATCCGTTCAAATTCCTATATATATACTAGCTGACCCGGCGAACTTCGTATCGCCTAAGTTATAGGTTTCCCCTAAGACAGACCGATGGAAAGAAAGTACCGTTACGTTTAATTTTCAAGATGATCTCGTTCGCATCGCTCAATCACGTCCTGGTTGAAGTTCGTTCGCTACGCTCACTCACCTTTGGGTTGGAGCTCGTTCGCTACGCTCACTCACCTTTAGGTTGGAGCTCGTTCGCTGCGCTCACTTGCCTTCAGGTTAGCTCGTTCGCTACGCTCACTCACCTTTTGGTTGCAAATTAGCTGTTGTCATAAATGTAAAAGAAATAATAGTGCTGCACCCTGTTGGTAATCCTTGTAACTTTAATGCTATTGAACATCATAGAACAGAACCAACTTGATTAATTGAAACAGCTGTTAAGATTCATTAATTCCATTTCTCATAAGGTTAACATGGGAAACTCCAGAGCCACTGGGGCAGAGCCCTTTTCAGAATTTCGAAACGGGAAATAGTTTACGTCCGATTCGCATACCTACAGAATTTACACACCAAATTTCATAACGATCGGTGAAGTCGTTCCGGAGGAGTTTGCAGACAAACACTGTGACACAAGAATTTTATATATTAGATATATATGTGTGTGTGTGTCCGTTAGCACGAGCAAAATGAAATGAAATTAAATATTCCTTTATTGTCACAATACACATTTCAAGTTTTCAGCAATGCTGATGAAACAGGTGACATTGTCCATTATTAAAACTAGATTTACAATTCATGTCTATAAACTAAATAAATGTAATAGAAAAATGTTGAACTATTATTCAAATATTCAGAAATAGAATCAAACTGTTTTTGTAAGATATACATTTTAAACTCGTTTTTTAATTTGGAAATATTGGTAATTTCTCTGAATTTGGTAGGTAGACTGTTGTAAAGCCTGAGACTCATATATAAAATGGTGATCTTTCATACAGACAGAGGAAATGTCTTGGATATTTCAAATTATTTTTTAAACGAGTAGGATATTGATGGATGAATTGATTGTTGTCGTATGATTGGTACTTTTTAAAGAAACCATGATTTTAAATATATATAGAGAAAGCATTGTTAATATGTCGTTTTTTTTTAATAGGTTTAAATTATGTTTTTTTTGGTGCAAAATATAGGATTCCTAAATACCTACTTCTTTTGTTTTTTAAAAACTGTGTTGGCAGATGAAGTTGAAAAAAACATAGCATATTATACAGTAGGCCTAAGTTTAGTTTTCAGATCAATTATATTCCTTAAAACATACATTTGAGAACAGGCTGGTATTCAGTCTCTTTACTATCATGTCTATATGTGGTGTCCAGGTTAAATTTCTATCAATAATTAAGCCTAAGAACTTTGTATGTTCAACAAAAGGTAAAATATCGCTTTGGTAGCGTAATTCAAAATTTTGATTCTCTCTATTTTGGATTGTTTGAAATAATATAACCTGTGTTTTAGAACTATTGATTTGTAGCCCATTTATTGTAAACCAATTGGACAAATCTATGAGTGAGCGGTTAAGTTCTAATTTTAGATTGGGCATATATTTTGCTTTAACTATGGTTGTAGTGTCATCAGCATATACAATGAGGCTAGAAGATACATTTTGAGGTACATCATTCACAAAAATTTAAAATAGTAAAGGACCTAATATCGAGCCTTGTGGGACACTGCATTTAACTTTATACTTACTTAAAAAAAAAAATTGTAAACTGTTGTAATTTGCTTGTTTATGAACATATTTTGATCAAATTTGGAAAATGCATTCATTTCATACTAAACTATTACCATTTTACAAAAAAACACCTTTTTACCCTCCCTGTAGCAGTAAACCTAAGTATTCGTTGAACAAATGCTATTTGTGATATTTTTAAGGATATATTCTAGCTTTAATCCAATCAGCCAAATGGAAATTCACTTAGTCTGCAGGTTTGCTGTGGCGGGGGTATTTTAAAAATTAAAACGTGCTAACAACATTGGAACAGCTGATTACTGTTAAATTGTATTTAAAAAAACTTTATGATGCCAGCTTTAAAATTAGCCATAGTTTGACTTTTCTACGACCCTTGTTATCTCACACATATTAAGCTGTATAGATTTGATCCATTCTTTTTGGGACACAATTTATAACTATAGTATGAATGAAATAAATAATCAAAATATCCATTGAGATGGAATGTGAATTGAGTTTTTGTTATTAAACGTAAGTTACAATATTGATATTCACAGTGCTAAATAAACAATATCTGTGTTTAGAGTTATAAACATGGTTTAGAGCAGCCCCTACAATTTGTTAGGTTAAGATTCCTAACTATTTAAAACTTAGATGATTTACAAATTTTGTCTACTTAAATTTACGGCAGTAAGATAATCTCAAACATAATATCCTTTTAATATAATAAATGTAAGAAGTGTTGTAGTTGTTACTCTTCATTGTTGTGTTGAATAGTTGGAGTGTGATAGTGGGCCAGACTCTGACCAGGATACTTTTGCAACTCTAGTCAAAGAACTGCACAGGGCTTTTAAACCTCTCGGATTACTGTTGTCAGCAACTGTACCCTCTGCCAAGAATCCCATTGATGTTGGTAAATACTCTTTAAAAAATCAATAAGAAATTAAATTCGCCTTTATTACATGCATGCCCTTCTCCAAACCCCTTCCACTACCTATGTACATATTTTACAAATAAACTTTTCCTACCACTGCATGGAAATGATTTCCACAGCTGTAAACAGCACACAAAATAGCTCATTTATATGCTCTAGAGCGGATCATTCATGTTCACCAATGATCAGCTGATTTCACTGTTGGCGTTTCTACACCAATCTCAGCCGCGGATCAGGTACATTAAACAACCTTTTAAAAGCAAATAACATAACCTAAAAAAGCAAACACAAGCTAAATGAAAAGAAAGTTATATATAACTAAAAAAATATCCTTTGTTGTTGGTAGGAAACATCTTTTGTGGATTACGAGCACCTACAGCCATTGCCACTCTTGAAATGTAAGGCCACACTCTAAAGCTTCGGGTGGCCATCTACACTTCTTGAGCGGCAATGACGTACTTTGTGCTTTTAATACACAAATAGCTATTTCTCTGTAGACATCTATCATTTGTCAATAGATTAGATTTCATTAGACCCCTTAAACATCTCATTCTCATCCATCAATAAGTGAGTCAGTGATACCGAGCGTCACATAAAGGTGTAGACTCTGGCTTAAATAGTTAATAGGAAATTTAAAAACAGGAAGTAAGTTTTAAATTTGAACACGCTTACTCTGTCATGATGGTAGCTTGTTGGTGACCTTAATACAAAGACAAATAAGCTATAAATAAACTAAGTTTACCATTTATTTTTGAATCTTCCCAAAATACACCATGTTAAAAACCCTTTTTACTTTCTCTCCCTATACCATTATGAGATATGAAGAAAGCATTGTTTTTGTAAAAATTTTCAAGTTTGAGTTTTGGGTGGATATATTAGTTTTAGAACCCCTGAACCCAAGAAAGTGGGTTTCGAAGTGATGTTTGTGTATGTGTGTGTCTGTCCGTCTAATGTGTGGATGTGTATAGAGCTACAGACCACACCTGTGGTCCAATTTTGATGAAATTTGGATTGTTAATCCATGGTATCTCCAGGGTTTCTTTGCGTTTTTTTTAGATTTTTAATGGTGATTTTACCATAAAATAACGGAAAAATCAAACTTTCTCAAAATTGGCACAAACGATTTTGAATAAAATGTAGTATGTTATATGATCCTTTTGACTCTGAACAAGATGGTATAACCCCATTGCTGTTAAAATTGCTGTTTAATAGTTATTGCTACTTTTGTGATTTTCTCCATAAAAACCTATTAATTCACAGAAAAATCAGATTTTAAAAAACCAACTTGATAAATTATTGTGATTAAAAAAGTGTTGCAATATATTTTAAATAATACAATAATTGATTTTAATCAATGTTCTTAATGAAATATTGTTCCAATATTATTGTTGTTGTTTGTTTAGGGTACAATGTCCCCGTAATGTCAGAAAACTTGGATTGGGTGACAGTGAGGACATTGGATTACCATGGCCCTTGGGAAAAGAAGACAGGACATAGCTCTCCTCTGTATGCTAAACCAGATGATGATGGTTATAAGTTCAGTGTGGTCTGTGTTGCAAAATCTGTGTTATCTTGTTTTTAGGACAAATATAGTTGTAAGTTTATTATACTGTAATAAGTTATTCTAGAGAAGCTATGTCAATCAATGTGAACTTTTAAATTCATTTCAATCTTTATTTTACTTGAAAATCATATATGTTTACATTTTTTGTGATCTGAGTTTCAAGAACTTAAATTACAGTACATTAGATTTACCTTTGTTATTGTTGCCTGGGTTTTTGTGGGTAAGATTTTTGTCTCGCCCTATGCATATCACCACTATGTATGGCATCTTCAGGGGTCCTAATGTGAATTCATCTTCTTATCACCAACACTATAGTGTATATTAAAAAAATATTTACACATACACTGATACACATCAGTCACTAGTATCGCAGCGATGTCACCTCGAGAGGTCTTTCTCTTTCCACCCTTTTTATTTTTGGAGTGGGATTGTTATCATGTGAAAATTCATTAATGAGACAAACATCTTACCCACAAGAACTCAGACAAAAGCAAGAAAGGTAAATGTGATTTATAAATGTTTTAATTTACCCACGCCAAGTTTTATTTTTCAATTGGCTAGCTCTTTCTACTAGAAAGTTGGATCTGCTTGTCTATTACTTGGTTTCTCCATGCTATTGGTTCTCATATTTGATTCTTCTAAGGTACCTATTGATTCTTTCCAAATCTTGAATGGTGTCTAAGGGGTCATGAAAGATCTATCTCATACGTTGTTTTATGAATTGGAGAGGACAATCCTTGTAGAATAAGCTAATGGCTAGTACTCACTAGGACACCCGGTCGCTTATCAACCGGCGACCTGGTTGACGAGTGACTAAGTTGATGATTGAATGTTTTATTGCCGGGGGGGTACACACTAGGATAACTAGCACCTTCAACCGAGCAGCAAATCAAAATTTGGTGGGGATGGACTATGTTTGGTTCTGGAATCTGGTTTGAGCTCTAGTTACACTGAACTGTGTGTTGTGACAACATGCCCACCTACGAAGAAGAGATTGCTGCCGCAGTTATAATTCTAATTAATTGCAGTAACCATAGAAGAAGGAAGACATTGTTCAAAAGATTTTGGGCTAAAGGGTGGCTTCAACGCAGACACAGTTACAGCCACATGGCACTTCTACGAACTTTGCGAGATGATAATCCTCAGGATTACAAGAATTATTTGAGGATGTCAGACGACAATTTCCGTCACATTTTGCAATTGGTGACGCCTCATATTGGAAACACACATTCATCCAAACGAACACAAACACTTGAGCAGTCTACAATAAACTCAAACAAACGAAAAACCCCTCTAGCTTGAAAGAGACCACGTTTAGCACTAGCACTTTTTAGTTTTGACAGTTGACATAAACAGTGTACTGCGCATGCGCTAGCCGTCTTTAGTTGATCAACTTGGTTGCTGAAGCGTACACACTCTAGTTTTTTGAGAAATCTGATTGCCCGGCGATAAAATGGTTGATTGGAAACCCCCAGGTTTTCGATACATGTCCGAAAACCAAAAAGTTGCCTGGCAACCTACAAATCGCCGTCAACCAAATTGACAGACACGTACACACACGGCGATATTTGTGCAATTTGGTCGCTCGTCAACCAGATCGCCGGTTGATAAGCGACCGGGTGTCCTAGTGAGTACTAGCCTTAAGAGTCATAAATTAAGTCCACCTAGAGCAAAAGAGCATTATAACCTTGTCAGTGTTTAAAAGCCTACTCCTAGTGCTTCTTCCTCAGCCTTGTGTATTATAGGACCTCTTGTATCAGTTAAAAACACTAAAATATGATTTAAAAGTGGTGTTTATGTACGTCTATGATTTCATTACCTTGAGATAAGTTAAATCAATTATCTTAGTATTTTAAGATCCTCGAGATACAGTAGTTTAGGATTTGCAGTTTTCTTAAGACTAGAGGTTGCCAGTGTTCAAAAACTTGATGAAAAATATGTAATGTGCAGACTTCTCTATTTTCACCCCACACTGTAAATAAAACATGTAATTGGAATTTCTTGCATTTGTTTTGATTTTCTGTTTATAGGCTATTTGGATGTTATTTTGTCACCAGTATGACAACCCATAAGGCCCATGTTAATATTTTTTCAAATTTTAAATTCATTTTATGTTCTTATTTTTTAGCCTATTTTAATTTTTAAACGGATTCTGCACATTTACAGGAAAATATCTTTCCAACAGTATGCGTAGATTTTCTCTGTGATGCACATGAGCTGAGAAAAAAGGTTTTAAAGAAACATGCTTGCCTATTAATATATAGATTCTTATGGGATAAATTTCATTCCCCGTTAATATGAATGGTTTCCATGTTTTTATAGCTACCTATTAATATGATTAATTGAGGGTTTTGCTGCAATGAAACTGCCTAAACATTACCTAAAATTTGTTTAAAAAACATATATTTATTTTGAATTTGTAAACAAGTCCTCCATATCTTTAAAACTGTTCCAGAACTTTACGATTCGATATTTGATATCTCAAGGAGCAGATAGCCGCAAACTTATTTTGGCCATTCCCATGTATGGCAATACCTTCACCTTAAACTCTAGTGATGACAACGGCCTGAACGCCCACAGCAAGGGCCCAGGAGAGAGAGGCGAGCACAGCAACAGCCCAGGGATCCTCTCTTACTATGAGGCCGGTAACTCTTTGTGAAAACTTAATAAACATGGACATTTCAAGTTGTGTTTGTAAAAACGTAATAGACTCCCAAGTTTGATACCAATGTCATGCACACACATCTATCAACTAACAACAGTAATCAAAAGGAATTTCCCCCTTCCTAAGAACACATTTTATGCTTGGTAGGAGAGTAAATTTTCTGATGTAGGTTTGAATAATCACAACATTCTGTATTAGTCATGATTTGAAATAGTGCCTCAATGTTTCCACAGAGTGCAGCACAGAAAACTATTTTACTTTTGAGTAAGTCCAAAAATATTAAACCCCACTCGCAGCACACCTGTGCACTCAACACCGTTTAAATTCTCCAATGTTAAATATGTAAACATAAAAACCTTTATCAAAGTATTATAATAAACAATAAAAGGGATGGCAATGCCTTAATATTTTTATCTCTTCTTCAATACTCACACAATCTAACATTAATAATTAATAATTAATAATAATCGTGTGTGCTATCTCAGGTGTTCAAATGCCTCTCAATTTGCCACTAACCCACTACATTACTGTCATTAAACGAAGGAACTCCAATAATACTAATGCGAAACATAAATCCACCGAAGCTGTGTAACGTTACCAGACTGACGATTGAAAAAATGACACCAACATTTATTGAAGCAAAAGTTATCAGCGGTAAGTTTAAAGGAGAAATAGTCTTAATCTCAAGAATAGTGATGATTTCATCCGAATTACCCTCTGAATTTAAGCAACTACAATTTCCTTTGTGTCTTGCTTTTGCAATCACTACTATAAGGCTCTAGGGTCCCTGGCTATCGTCGGTTTAAATTTAGAAAATGTGTGCTTTTCACACGGACAGCTGCATGTTGTGTGCTCGCATGGTGGTAGGTACGCCAAAAAACGTACCATATTTATACACCTAATGAAAAAAAACATTGTTTATCCACTGACAATTAAGTAAATTTTTTTTAAAATTTTGGTATACAATTTTTCTATTCATTGTAAAGAACAAATTACCATTTAAAATAATAGTTGTTAAGCGCAGCAACGCGCACCGGGTAACTGCTAGTAAGTTATGAAACAACAGGTTTTTAAATTGTAATAAACACTTTTAAAAATAATGTTTTTCCTATCAAAACTGATAGTGAAGCAAAAACTATCAAAACTCTCAACTTAGAAAGGGGCAAGATTTGCAATTATTGTGTGTTTTTTTTAAAGAATAATTGTTCTTCACTCCTTCACTGTGTTAACAGTTTGTAATAATTATGAAGCAAGTAAGTGCAAAAATCAAGTAGGTATTTTAACCATTGCAGTGGCCGATCGTCGTCTGGTAACGATCTGACGTTGATGCTTAGAATGGCCAAAGTCGTCTGGTGACGATCTGGGCCGAAATTTTTTTAGCGGTAAAAAAAACACTTACAATCAACTCAGATGAGAATAATATATATACCATTCGAAAGATCACATTCTGAACTTTCATTTTATTACATAAACAAACCCTGTAGCAGGTATATAACAATTTCACGACGATTAGAAATCAAATAAATTTTTGGCGCGGCACGACTTTTGCAGCCGACACTTGGGAACTGGCAAAACACGTCTTGTTTGGCATTACCCTGCTCGGATAATTTTCGTCGTGGAATGTTGCGGGTGGTACCAATGGATAGCCATTGATTTTATCTTCATTGTGGTAGTAATATTTAGAACGAAATATTGATTGCACAACCGGTACGATTTTATGAAAACAGCTGTTTTCGAATTTTTTAACAAATGGCCAATGGTCGTCAGGTGACGATGTGGAAAATACGAATTACATACACTGTAAGTTATTATTACTAGTCATATAATATGTCGTTTTGAAGAGGAAGAAATATAGATTGTGAGAGTGGCAGCCCTGCGCTCAGGGTTATTTACGTCTGCTCACATATGAAGACGACGGAAGTGAGTCATTACTGCTACAGCTGTCTTGTGTATTCGCCATTGTTTGTTGTTGCCGTGAGTGTTCGCTCTGGTGCTATCCGCGATTTATTACTAAATACGTTGTTAGTTCGTAGTGTTAGTGTTAGTGAAGTTTGTGTGTGTGTATAACAGTAATCTTCATGCATTTTATTATGCATAAATATTACTGAATTGTGTGAAATAGTGTTCATAAAAGGTTAGGGTACACTTCCATATCTGTTGGCACAAACAATCGAATGAGTAATATCGATCGATATATCGATTAGGTATTCGATATATCGTTTGGTTATAGTTAGGTAAGGTTAACCTAACCTAACTAACCAAACGATATATCGAATTAAACAATCGAACAATCAGTATTACTCATTCGGTTGTTTGTGCCAACAGATATGGAAGTGTACCCAAAGGTTATATTTTGTTAGCATCATGTCCTAAAATGACGATTCTGACATTCAGAGATTGTTGTAGGAGATGGACCTTAGTTCGCCATGCTATATAATGATATACCCAAGGTGTTATACATTTTTATAAAGGTAAATGAATACACTACAACATGTTTATAATGGTTTGGGGGTAAACAGTTTTGTAAAAAAGTTATAGCCTATACTAAATACTGTATTTTGTTAGCATCATGTCCAAAAATGACGATTCTGACATTCAGAGATTGTTGTACGAGACGGACCTTAGTTCGCCGTGCTATATATGCTATATAATGATTTACCCAAGGTGTTATACATTTTTATAAAGGTAAATGAATACACTACAACATTTTTATATTGGTTTGGGTGTAAAAAATTTTGTAAAAAAGTTATATACTAAATACTGTACACTCCATTTTCTCGAAATGTGCAAAAAATTTAAAACATTCTGAAATTGATACATAATCATAGGTGAAAATAACTTTTTACCATCATACTAATGACTTTTTTGGATTCCTTACTTCATTAGCTTTACAAATATGTACATATCATCAGCCTACATAATGTTTTACAACACAAACACTAAATACTGTGAATTTTTTTTCTCGCGAAATCGCTAAAATATAAAATAATTATTTTATATACGTATGTTTATAGGTAAAAAATTATTTTTACCATAAACTTTATGATTTTTTTTTATTCCTTACTTCATTAGCTTTACAAACATGTATATATCATTATTAGTATAGGCCAGTGTTTCCCAACGTTTTTCCGTTCAGGCACACTAACTAGAACACGTTTGTAGTCACGGCACACTTGTCTACAAAATATCGTTGGTTAAAATTACATTTAGTAAGTGCATAAAAAACTCTTTTTTTCAATTACATCTTACTCCGTAAAACCTATTTTTGTTTACCAAGGTAAATTTGATAGTTTATTTTGTCCATGGTTTAGGTGCAGTGGTAGAACATTTTGGCTAGGTAGATGTGTTATAGCATACTGTAAATTTAAATAACCAAATTTTTCCAAACTGTGTCCTTCCCCATTATGCAAACGCAAAACTTAAGTATAACTGCAACTAGCATTTTATAGTTATATACCAACCCCGTACGAAGGACGGGTACTCTGCTAGTCTAACATATGTACATTATTTAGTGTTTATTAAGTGGAAAGCTTTAAATAATAATAAAACATTGAGCTTGATTAAAATTTGGTATGAATTTAACAATAATGAGTGAGAAATATTTAACAAACCCTGGTTTCAGTTCTAGTGGGAAACTTGTGCTTGACATTTGTTCATTAAAAGTTTCTTTCTCGATCAAAACTTTTTTAACTACTTAAAATTTTGCGGCACACCTACAGAGGCCTACCGGCACACCAGTGTGCTAAGACACACCGGTTGGGAAACACTGGTATAGGCCTACACATATAGGTATTATATAACTTTTTACAACATAAACTAACACTGTACGGTTTTCAATTTTTTCGGTTCTCTGTTTGTCATTATATTTTGCCCCAAAAACTTATAAAAAAAAAATATTTTCCTAACATGTTATATATTTCTGTGTAGGGAATTAGATTGTCTACAAAATGTATATAATGAATTTCCCATAAAAAATCCGTTGAAAAAAAATACTGAGGCCGCTTTTGAAATTTCAAAAAGAAAAATTCAAATTTTTTTATTTTTTTCACTTTATCGATAAAATACACTGTCTAAATCATTATGATATTACTATTTCTAGATTCTCCTGTTCTTTCCGAACAAAATGAATATGAGGTTGGCTAGGCTTACTTGTACGGTTGGCTCACTTCTAACATTGGCCACTGCTAGGGTTAAAATGCATTACTGAGCTTTGAAACACTATGGTTTATTTTGAAAATGTAGGTCTAGGCTATACACGTTTTATTAAACATTCAATTAAAGAGTTTTCAACATTTTTCAGAGCCAGTGAAGTTGAAAAATAACGTAAATTATATTAACAAGATATTGTCCATATAAAACCTCACGATTATTTATCCAAGATAAAAAATAAATAAACAACAATGAAAAAGAAACATAAGGATACCAATTTTGATTGCTGTTTTCCTGTTGGTTCAGATTTGTGATCGAATACAAAATAAGGGATGGGTGGTGGTGAGAGACCTTGAAGACATAGGGTCTTATGCTCAAAAAGGAGATCAGTGGGTGGCGTTTGATGAGCCAGTGATGGTCCAACGTAAGGCCAAGTACGTGACACACAACAACCTTGGGGGCGTCATGATCTTCTCCCTCGACTACGACGACTTCAGGTCCTTCTAACTGTAATAAATTGTTTGCTGGTTTTGTCAGTAAAATTTACATTTAAGATTAATGTGTTTAGAAGGCTGATTTTTTTTAATTTTCAGGACAGTCACTATTCAAAGTTCATTGTTGTAGTATTACTTCATTTTGACTTTTCTCTTTAATGAGGATTTTAATTACCACATTTTACCTACTTCTGTTTTTTGTAAAAATTACCTGTTTTCTTTCCGAATCTCCCTCTCTGGGTGACTCAGGGCTAATCAGCCTTCATTGTGTTGGACACCTGGAGGTAAAATTCAGGATGCCTGTGTTCTGCACCAACAGCTGGATAGTACAGGCGCGCAAGTACAATACAAACTGCCCACTCCAGCACATGCACACCGATGACTCATAACTTATCCACCACCTTGCTCATGCTGCCTCAACCAGTTTACTGCTATGGCAAAGATAAAAACTTCTCCTTTTCTAAACAACTTGACTAGAGGGAAGACAATCTCTATTCCTTCTTCAGCATTATCAATAAACTTGATGCACTGCACACACCTTAATCAAAGAGAACATTTTTGCTATCTGAATCTCCTACATGTTGTTGAATCCATCTTTACAAATGCCTTGGATTGTTTCAGAAACCATTGCAGAGGAGGAAAGTACCCCCTACTTCAAGCCATCAACACAGTTCTGCGTCCGTCATCGGATCCTGATCGTGATGTCCCTTCTTCTACAGGTATACTAAAATTTAAGAGTCCTTTGGAGCCTAGACGTTCTAACTCATAAAACAATTAAAGAACTACAAATAAAATTTCTAATCTCACAGTATATATACTAGATACTTAAATTACAATCACTCTGGTGTTTGGAAAAATATTTTGAGATGGTAAATAACTTCAGCGGCTGTTTGAAATTAACAAAATTAACATTGCTCTTATGGCGGGCAAATCCAAGATGGCCGTTAGCTTCCATGGCCTTCCTTTGGAGAACAATTCAAAACTACAAAGAACATTTCTAACGAGCGGAAGCGAGTTGCATAATTTACCTAAGTGATGTAAACACGCTCTTGCGTAACGTGTAACGTACAAGATTTTACCTGACCCGACAATATACAGGAGGTTACAAACAATATTTTTCATTATCCATTTCACTCATCTTCTAACAGTAACGTTCATTTACAAACAAAAGCTAGGTTAGGAAAATTCTTCAAAACATAACTCAATAAAATTCAAGCGCACAGCTGAATTCTAGCGTTGAACGTCGTTGGCTCCATAGAGGTATATTTTTTAAGTTAAGCACTCAATGTTATTTAAATTGGTTTCATTACCTCACCGAGTGAGTTTTTTTCAACTTTACATCACTCGAGAAGTAACGAAGTTATATACATCACGCTTGGGATAGGGAAGTTTTACATGGCGGGTTAGGTAAAAGCCCTTATGCTCTTCAGGATAACCTAAAATCTTGATGTACAAATATTTAGATCGTTCTTTACATCCAAATTTATTTCTATTTTTTATTAATTGTCTTATTTTGACCACTCAACATACCTCAGAACATTCAGAGAAGGACCAAACCACCAAACATGAGACGGTTGGTTCAACCCCACCATCGCAGAGTAAGGTAGTCTGCTACTTCACCAACTGGTCGTGGTATCGTGAGGGTCTGGGCAAGTATACTCCACTCAACATTGATAGCAGCCTCTGCACTCACATTGTATATGCCTTTGCATCGTTGGACCCACAGTCCCTCACTGTACGCTCCAAAGATCAATGGGCAGATGTGGATAATGGTGAGACCTTACTTACTTACATTAGTCATTTATTTTTTAACACCTAAAATTGAGTCTGTAGGTTTATAGTTTATAATTAAATTTAAAATACTTTTAATAATGAAAAATGACCGTTTTATGATCTTTCAGCAAATTGTCCATATAGGGGAATAAGCTATTGCCATAAGTCTCTTGGTAATACCATTGACTATATATACCTACAGGGTATATATAGTCAATCAGCTTTTATATTGACTATAGGTATATATAGTCAATGGTAATACCTATATCCGGGACAGATTTACTTTTTTGTTTTGCTGTCCCCTGAGGCCAAAAATACAACCTGTTAAAATTCATATATACATCATTCATGTAGTGAATCAGCTAATCTGAAGTAGTTACAACATAAAACTGCCAAGGATAGGAAACACTTACAATCATAAAATACCCCCGCCGCAGCAAACCTGCAGAATAAGCCAATTTCCATTTGCCTGATGGGATTTACACTAAAACGTCTCTTTAAAAATATCACATTTATTCCCCATTTAAGTAGAATTAGTTTAAGGAGTACTTAGGTTTGCCGCAACAGCAAAGGGTAAAGTGTTATTTTTGCACTCCTTCACCTTAAAAAATCGCCCTACTTCTAAAATTTGTAAAATTTCTCAGATTTTTTATTGCGCAAGCATGCTAGTCACACCTTTGAAAAATGCTTGTTCAATAAAAAAACCATAAAAAATCCAAGAAATTTTACAAATTTTAGAAGTGTAGGGTGATTTTTTAAGGTGAAGGACTGCGATTTTTCGGAAAACTTGTAAGAGGGTGTTGTAGAAAATGTTATTCCAGACCATGAAAATTCTTTCAAATCTTTGCTAGCTCCATTTTGGTGCTACAGCCGTTTTAGAAAAAAACATGTTTTTCTTAAAAAAGGGGGTGAAAATTCAAATTTTGTACTGCCATAACTTTTGATAGGTTTGACGTAGAGATCTCTAGTTTGTGCCATTCTTTTTTCTTTTTTCATGCCCTCACATTTTATATGTCAAAAGGAGTTCCTTGCAATTTAAAGATTTTAAGATTTTAAAGAAGTTAAGGGTAGGGGGAGAATGGGAACTTCACATTAAATTCACAACAATTGTGGCCCCTACGTCAATAGGTGATTCCCGTATTTTTCTATCTATTGCAGTTTTTACATAAATAAAGAAGCAAGTTTAAAAAAAAAAACATCCTGTATATCTATAAACTGTTCATCTGTTGACCATTAGAATATATAAATGATTACAAAAGCTAAGCCAAGAGTTGGCATCTGGTGCCCGAGGTCCCGAGGAAAGCAGGAGGAAAGCAAACCGACCCATCCACCGTCCTATATAGTCTTCAAGGTGGAGAGTAATAATCTAGTAGACCTACTCGCAAATAATCCAAATAATATAGTTTGATACCGGTAGGGTTGACGGTGAATTTTTGTCCAATGCATTTGGTGTCATTCTTGCAGACATCCCATTGATCGTTGGGCCACACGTGTTCAGAGACGAAGTTAATTGGTCGCTACAGTCGCTACGCTATTGATTTGATAAATTAAAAACCGAGTACAGCATAAAATGTTAAGAAGTTTTTATAAATCAAAGTATTGGTTGATCAAATAATAACAACTACCTTCTGCTGATCAAATAATTTAAATCGACATTTCAGTTTGAAATGAAATGATGAAATAAGTTGATTTTTTCAAGAAACTCCTTAAATGTGAGGGAAAAGAATTTATCCATAAAAATAAACACATCTGCCTTAAGAATAATGTTGCCAATGACACAGAAAAATATATACTGACTGATTCATTTTGTTGTTTGTCATATAAAAGATTTCTCATTATAATACTGTAATAACAAAAATGGTGAAATATTTACTAAAATACTCTACAAAAAAAGTCTATCTCGGCCGGCAGATACAGAATACTTTGACGAGGTACAGCTAACTGTGTTAAAAGTTAAATAAAAAAAAAGCTCAAAATTTTTTTAAACAAATTTCAAAAAATTGTCCAAATTTTTTTTTTATAAAAAATATAAAAATTTATTTTTTGGTTTCGGATTAAGCGGACTTTCGGATAACCGAAATTCGGATTTTTGGGACTCCACTGTAATAATAATAGGTTAAATACCTTATTTACGTCTTCAATCCAAAGTAGTCTATTTATGATTACTATAGTTTCGGGGCTAACAGCTCCATTGTCAAATCTTCTTGTCTTGTTAAATTACTGTGAATAGCATTGGTCATAGTTGAAGATCACATGTAGACATACACTCACACACGAAACATTAATATATACAAGTAACATTGAAAATTTGTATTTTGGCCGGCCTAAACAAAAAGGATTAGCGTATTGGTTGTACGGACCGGTACACTGACTGACTGATTCATGTTATCCGATACCCTGGAGACGTCGACTCAATTATGAATCCCATTATATTTCTAACACTCTCCTTCGTCACTACAATTAGTCCAATATCAGCTTTTAACAACATAGACGACAATCCAGAGACCTCGTCAGTCCGTCAGAACCTGATTCAGTTTACTTCCAGTCCTGCCCGCGGCAATGTACACACATAATTTGATAGGCATATATGTTTCTGTTATAGTTCATGTTTTGTGTGTAACATATTCTGACGACACCTCTAGAAGTGGATCTTTTTATAAGCCTAACGATGGTGGAGTTAAAGAACCGCCAAAACATAAGTATAGCAAATAAAAAATGACACTACCGTAGATTTATTAAGGATTTTTTGACAAGATGCGTTTCTACGATTATTAGTCATAAAACGCAATCCTGGGGCTATCAAAATGAATTATAAAATTACTTTTTGTCACAAAAACATTTTGTACTGGAGGAAGGCTTACAAAAATATCAACTTCTGGAGGAGTGTCGTCAGAATATGTTTCAAAAACATTGAACACAAAACACAAAACGATCACTACAGACAGGCCTATCAATTCACGTGTGTACATTGACGTCGGCAGGACTGGAAGTAGGCCTAAACCAAATCAGGTTCAGGTTATGACAGCAGCATAATTTGGGGGGGAACTCCTCCTTTGGTCTGGGGGGGATGGGCACCTCTGATGTTTCATGTATAATTATTTTCAAAAGGGATCTGTCCAAAAATCATATTGTATCCAAAAGTTTCCAAAAAAATTTGATAATGTTCCTCTCAATTTCCTTAAACAATCCAATCACCTCCATTTTTGAAATTTTGCTTGAATTATTCAAATGTTGATTCTGAAATTTTCTTTTCCTCATTCACATCATTAGGCTAATTTAGTTTAATTTCATATTCAATTGTTGGATAAAAATCAAAAGGAGTACAACTTGCAATTAAAAAATTTAAGTTGAGGGTAGGGAGAGAGAGGGGGTGAATGGGAACTTTACATTAAACTCACAACAATTGTGGCCTCTAGGAACCTCAAAACTAAAAAGCAAATCGGTCCCAGGTCCAGGTCTTACCATGAGTACTACGGTAATAGCTTATTCCCTATATGGGAAATTCGCTAAAACAAGAAACAAATAACGCCATTTTGTATTTTTTACAAAATTGTTTCAAACAATCTTGATGAAACTTGGTATGTATGTTGATTGTTGAGGTAGAAGAGACTGATTTTATAAAAAAGTTACTTTGAACAAATCTAGAACTTCAAAATGGCGAGCGTTTTAATTTTTTAAATTAAAATACAAAAAAATGCTGATTGTACGAAAAGATGTCAAGAACGTTTTTATTTAGCATTTAAAATTCCCTATCAAACGACACCAAGTTCAAAAATATCAAATAAAAAATAACTGAAATATCAGCAGTTTTTAGTTTTAAAACTAGGCAAGGCAAACCTGGCCAGGTTAGCCTTATTTCCAGGGCTAGAGATATATGCCTTATTCCACCTCATTTTACTACTAAAATCGTGATATTTCAGCTATTTTTTATTTGATCTTTTCTAACTTGGTGTTGTTTGATAGGGAAGTTTGAATGCTAAATAAATGTGTTCTTGACATCTTTTCATAAAATCAGCATTTTTTGTAATTTTAATTAAAAAAAATAAAATGGCTGCCATTTTGAAATTTTAGATGGGATTATTGTAACTTTTTTTAAGATCAGTCTCTTACTTGAATCAGTTACTTGAACATACATACCAAGTTTCATTAAGATCGGTTGTAACAATTCAAAGGTAAAAATGTTTATGTAAAAAATACAAAATGGCGGATATCTGGTTAACGAAGGGATTTTGGAAAATGTTTTATTCTTAATTTTCTCTTTATTTAAACTCAAGGAACCACTACAAAAATTATGTCCCAACCCTTTTTGAACACCCTGTATAATAATGTTTACTTTGTCTATTGAATTTACTCAATATGAAATTATACGGTAATCTCAATAAATAAATTCACAAAGCTCAAAACCGAGCAACAGGTTTGTTTACTAAACATAACCCAAGTGCATCTTTTTGTATGTGTTACAGACTTTTACCGACAAGTAACTAAGTTAAACAAGAGTGGTTTGAAAGTGCTCTTAGCATTAGGGGGCTGGGAAGACTCTCAAGATGACAAATATAGCCGACTGGTCAATAGTCCAGCTGCAAGAAAACGTTTTGTTTCTCATCTTTTGGAATTTTTACAAAGATATAACTTTGATGGAGTGAGCCTTCATTGGGAGTATCCTACTTGCTGGCATGTATGTTTTTATTTATTTTTATATAGTACATAGACATATTTAGTTATGTGTATCCATACTAATATATAAAAATAAGATGATGTGGTGTGTGTGTGTGTGTGTGTGTGTCTGTGTCTGTTACTCAATAATGCCAGAACCATTGAATCGATTAAATTCTTTAGTGTAAGGTCGATAAAGGAACAGAACTATTACATTGCATGAAATAAGTTTTACAGCTGTAGTTTTACTTTTTAATATATAGATGTCCTTTCTAAGGACATCTATATATATAATACGCTAAGCCTATTTTTGTAAACAGAACTTCTCCTTAATTTTTGGACTGATTTTAATGAATAAAGTGTCAATAAAAAATGGCCCTCATCTGTAGTTATGCAAAGTGGTTTTCATTTTTTTAAATCTTTATTAGTTAGGTCAGGATCTTCCATCAAAGTTGGGTTTTCTCCCATAAGATTAACATGGGGGAATCTAAATATTTAATTGGAAACTTTGTCTCCAATAATTTTAGAGAACGGCTGGGCGTAGAAACTTGGTAGAGGTGTCCAAAGAAATTTCTTGGTCTGTAGATGAGTTAGGCAGCCAGTGTAACTCCGAGGATCGTGGATCAGATCGGAAAACCCCCCACCACCGCTCCGTGCCGATGGCGTGGCGTCAACCATTACTGCAACGATACGGAACTGAGTCATGAGCCTTGGTGGTATAGTGGATAGCGTGTCGGGCTGATAGTCTGAAGGTGCCGGGTTCGAAATCCCGCTGGTAGCATTAACTTTTGTCAACAATTTTTTTCATATCAGCAAGTTTGATTTATAAAATTGAATTTGAGACATTTATTATTTTATTTTTAGAACAGAACTATTTTTTGATTAGTAAACCTTCATTCGAGTTTTTCATAATCATAAGTTTGGTTAGTTTGGTTAGGTTGACAGTTTAATTATATTTAATTTAAATTTTACCTACAAACGATATGTTTTGACAGTGACAGTGATAGAGATAGGTAACAATTTTCCGCGAACAGTTAGGCTATGCTGATGCGCCGGTATGATTCGGAAGCGTGCGACATGGTTCGGTGGTGGGGGTGTTCTGATCCACAATCCTCGGAGTTGCACTGGATGCCTAGACGCTTGTTTTAAAGATCCATCCACATATTTGTTTACATTTTGGCCATGTGGATAATACTTTTTAATGAAACAGCTGTTAATTTTTGAATTGTATTTTAAACAACACATTTATTGGGAGTTACTGAATTGTCCTAAAGAAGTATTTGCAGTGTTATTTTCTGAGTTTAACATTTATTTTCTTCTGTATCATGTCATGTTTTGCAATTGGTATAACGTTCCGTTACAAAAACCCTTTACGTTCCATTTGGAAAATCCTTTTATCACAGTAACTCTTACAATATTATTTCTTATTGAACTATCTTATATCTATTGTACGAGTTGGTTTGGTGTCTGCCTTTTTCACCGCTATGGCTATATTTTATCATATTATTCTAGACAGATCATATAGGTTCATGAGGTTATTGTCATATATGTTTTCAATCATTGGAAAACTTTTTGATTGTGTAATACAATACAAAATAATACAAGTGCAGAAGTGTCTTATTAGCTTTAACAGTAACCCCACAACCAATTTCTCAAAACTATGCTAGAGGGTTATTCATTGGCACAAAAGTACGATATGAACTGACGCGACGAGACGAAGGAAAAATCAAACTTACACTGTAACGGATGGACCTCCCTTTGAAGTTAGAACGTGTCTTCGCAACAAACAGATATTTGTTTCTCAAATTAAATCATAGATTAATCGTTATTACACTGATGAAATTGCGGAGGTTTTCAAGTACAAAAGAACCACCAATACGATTTTAATACTATTCAAAGGTTCTTCCAAAAGAAGAGATACCAGTTAACATACTAATAACAACTCCGATGACGTACGGTATGGGAAATATTTTATTCATTGAATGATAAATCATATTTGGCAACTAACACAATTAATATCATTATTGTTTTTACAAGTACTTATTACTCTTTAAATAATGCTAAATGATAAAAATATGTATAATTTCACTCAATTTATCGCAGTTGGATGAATTAGCGTAAGTTTGAAAGTAACCGTCTATTTCGGGTTTCACCGAGTATTATTTATTTTATTTAAACATTTACTTTTAAAATCTTCTTTTACAAAAACTATTGTACCCCTCTATTTTTTGAAGACCTAGAAAAGGAACTGACATTCCTTATAACCTGGTAATGAAACATGCTCCCCTTCATGCAAACCCAGCCAGTGTTCTGCAATGCAGACAACATCAATTTTAAATTGGTTGAGATACACATTTAGTATATCTATTTTGTTCACTAGCCCTTGAATATTCCAGGAAAAAATATTAACCCCTTTTTTGGAATTAAAATGTATTGGAAAAATCAGTTGACCCCATAACATCTTGAGTTAAGTTTGTCCTAAAATCTGGTTGGTTGAGCTTAAAAAATAAGCATTATCACTTCAACTTAAGACCTCGTACACTTTCACTGTGCTCTGCTTTTTTTCACTTTGACACTATCACATCAGATGTTGGTGGACATTCTTTAAGTGCCACTGCATAATTCTCAAGTTGATGTCCTAGCTCTCACTTTAGGTGTTGAATGTGCAGTGTTTGTTGAGCAAGGTTCACAGGATGACTTCTCCATTTGAGTTACTCCAAGGTTCAGGTGCAGTAATAACTCACTGGCTGATGTTTCCGAGTAGTGTTTTTGTTGATCATAGAAAGTCTTAATTATTTGTCTTAAAAACTCTTTGTGAGACAGTCCATTGCGAAGTCTTCTGAAAGATTTCTGGTAATGAGAAACCACAGTAACTGATGCATTTGTGTACTGTTGAAACTTTAATATGTTAGTTACAAATTGTTTCAAATGTACATTATCCACACACAGCGTACTAGGGAGCATATTGAATGCTTGAGACATCTCTGCTTTAAGTCTTTAGTCAAATCACCGAATGCTTTTTCAAAATCTTCTTTCTTTGGCTTGCCAAAATATTTGCCTTTGGTGATAAGACTATAGACAGAAGCACCAAGTGGTTGGTAAGACAATGTGCAGCCTCAGGCTTCCCAAACTGCTGCTTGAACACCACAGCCACTCTGGCTGTCATATGTCGGACGTCATCGAAGTCGCCAGAAATGCTGTGAGCAAAACCAACCCATCACTGTAATTTCTGTATTGGTTAATAGCCTGTGTAATACCATGTGTGTTTCCACTATATTAGCGATATGGTAGTGAGAGGCAGGTGATGAATCCCGCAGTTGGTTTTTGGAAGCAAGACCTTCAACAACTTCAACGAGCTAATATTTTCTTTCCATGGTAGCTTAGGTGCATTCCATATCGAGTGAAATGATGTCGTTGAAAATAATCTAAATCAATGAGGACTTACATTTTTTTATCTTAAGACAAGTTCCCTGATGTAATTTCCCAGAGCTATTTCATAATGATGATTACTATTGGGCGGTTGGTCAAACCGTGGGGGAATAGTAGTTATGCAGACTTATCTTGAGTTTATTAAACTTCTAAGTTTATTTTCCATTTCACTATACACTATTTGTGGCCTCTTCAGAATGTCATTGGTTCCAGCTATTATAACTATAGGATGTAGTTGTGACTTTAGCTGCTTCATTGTAAACATGTAGACCAGACTTTACCAAACCATCCAACAAACCATCAATAAAAGATATTTTTTTAATTGAGGTCCAATTGCATTTTGTTTAAAACCAAAGGTGGATGTGTGGTTTTTTTATATAACAGATTTAAATACCAAATCTTTCTCTGCGAAGCACGGGTACAGCAGCTAGTATGTACCAGTAATAAAAATAATTATAAAGGGTGTTCCGTAACTCTCTGGACACATGTATATAGCGTTATTGCTTAGGTCAAGACAAACACATTTCACCATAGGAACATGGGTCTGCGGTGCATAGTTTACCGACTGTCGGTATTTATGTGTTTTTTACAAACACATTAATAACTCCTCAACGGTTTGAAATACAGCGTTGAGATTTTGCAAAACTGTTTATCTTAATAGGACTTATCTTTGTTTAAAATTATACTAAACAACGTAAAAGGAGTATTAGCATTGTTTCAATGGAGAAAAGTGGTCATGCATTTGGAAAAGAAGGCATTTCTCTGTTATTACTTATCCATTCTTAAATAATAAGGTATCATTGAAAACTACATAAAATTTATGAACTTTTTTGTCTCTTGCAATTTTTTTGTTAGGTTAACGGTTTTTGTAAAATTTGGCATCAAATATTTTAAAGTGCTGCCATTTTGAAACGGTTAATGATTTTTTAGTATAATTTTAAACAAAGATAAGTCTTAATAAGATAAACAGTTTTGCAAAATCTCAAGGCTGTTCTCCAAAGCCTTTAGGAATTATTAATGTTTTTGTAAAAAACACATAAATACCGACAGTTGGTAAACTAGGCACCGTAGACCCATGTTCCCACGGTGAAATGTGTTTGTCTTGACCTAAGCAATAACGCTATATACATGTGTCCAGAGAGTTACGGGACACCCTGTATATTTGGCCTTTTGTACCTTAAAAATAAGAACTACATAACATAGACATAATATGTCTTTTGGGGTTAAATTATATAGCACAAATTCAAATATAAGGTCCACTAAAAGTCTAGGAACAACATTTTATTTTCTGAACCATTTCAGATGATGCAACCATAACCATGAAGTAAAATCATGAAGTCTCAGGCCGCGGCCACACAAGGCGGTTTTGAGCCGTGCGGCTTAACTTCGCGCGAAGTGAATCCGCGTGGTGGTGCATGGCCACACGGAGCAGATGAACCGCTTCCTGTTGGGTTTTCTCATTAAACGTACTGTATTAAAACATAGTCCAGTTTACTCTTTTAAGGAGTCATAGTCATGGACGAAACACTAGTTTTGCATTAGAAGCGTGTGTTGATCTGGAACTAGGTTAACAGAAATCATTGGGTCCATCCCTTCATAGCGGATAAACCATTTGTGTTTCAAACATTTAACGAGCACATGTGAAACCATAGTTTGAGGTTTTTTGTGATTACCCTAAATAGCATTTTAAAGAGGCTAAACTTCGCCTCATGTGGCCATACTCATTTGATTCAATGTGTTGTCGAACCCAATATATAACTTCGCGCGGTTAAACCGCCTCGTATGACCCCGGCCTTATAATGTACTCTTTTGACTAGAGGTTATAGGTTTTACACATTAATCAGTTGTCGGTAGGCCTATTTATCAAAAGAGTAATGTTTATTAACCTACCTACAATCTACAATATATTCAATTAGGCCTGCATAGTGCATATACCACATAAATTTAAAGGTTTAAAAATTCTTTGGCTGCTAGCGAATTTCCCATATAGGGAATAAGCTATAACCGTAGTACTCATGGTAAGACCTGGACCCGGGACCGATTTACTTTTTTGTTTTGAGGTCCCTAGAAGCCAAAAAAATTCAAATTCATATATATATGTGTCCGTTAGCGCGATAACTCGAGCAAAAATGATCCAATTTTGATGAAATTTGGTACAAACGTGTAAACCTACATTTATTCGAACGAGTTCGCGAACCAGCATGATCAGACTATGGGAAACGGGGGTTTATAGGGGGTTTTATGGGGTAAAAATAGGGTTTTCCACACAAAATTTTACAATTTCTTTCCAAACCATTTTGTAAAGCTTAAAAAACAAACAATTTTGTATATTGAAGTGTTATTATGCGCCTAATGGTTACGGAGACAATTCCAAAAAAATTTTAATTTAAAATTCCCATGTTATGCATATGGAGTTCAATTAATTGTTGTAGTTTGCTTGTTTATGTAACATATTTTGATCAAATTTGGAAAATACATTCATTTCTTTACTAAACTACAGTATTAACATTTTACAACAACAAAAGCTGTTTTACCCTCCCTGTTCCAGCAAGCCTAAGTACTTGTTAAACTAACTCATCTATTTAAATAGGGAATAAATGTGATATTTTTAAGGATCCTTTTTAGTGTAAATCCAATCAGGCAAATAGAAATTCGCTAAATCTACAGGTTTGCTGCGGCGGGGGTATTTTTTAAAATCTCCTTCATGGGGATATCTTTGCCTTTAGCATAAAAATGCTATTTTGCCAACTGTATGGACCTGGAATGTTTGTTGAGGAGTCTGTTGTTTCTGTTGGCAGTATGACTGCACTACTGGACCAGCCACTGATAAGGAGGGTTTTGCTGCTCTAGTAACACAGTTGAGCCAAGAGTTGAAGCCTCGGGGAATGTTGATATCTTCGATTGTAGCTACTAGCAAACTTGTTGTAGAAAAAGGTTAGAGAGACTTTCATTTATGGTTAAGCATATATAATATTGATTTTTACAAAACTACAACTAGAACTTTGGTATATTAACAAAAAATTGTTTAGTGATCATACCTACCATGACCATGATAAATACCCCCGCCACAGGAAACCTGCAGACTAAGCGAATTTCCATTTGCCTGAATTGATATACAATCTTATATACTAAAAACCTTTTGCAAAACTTACGACAGCTAGCCTGGCCATACTTCTTGACCGAATTACACGCAGTTGGTACCAAATGAAAGATATTTTCCTGTAGATGTGCAGATGAATTACTATAAATTAAAATAGGCTAAAAAATAAGCACAACAAATGGATTTAAAATTACAAAATATTAACTGGCTGGAGCTGAGTGGTTATAGTGCTCGCCTGATAATCAAAAGGTCGCTGGTTCGATCCTGAGAAAAATCAGTAGCTTTTTGATGTTCGAAACTGGACCCAGCTGTTCCTGATCATGGGCTTTAAATAAATGATCCTGGCTAATGAAACAGCTGATCTTAGTCAGTAACAAAGCTACACAGTTCATCTCACACCATTCTACACTCATCCTTCACTCATATTTGGGTTAAAATACGCACCTAGGTGGCGTACCCATCTCAATTGATATTGATATTGATATGGGTTGCCTTGATGGTTAAATAAATTATAGATATTTACTCAGAAAAGTGGACATGGTTTTCTCATTGATTTACTCACTCAACTCAATATTTATTTTCATTTTTGAAAGTAAACACTAACATTTTAATAATTAGAAAACATATGACTTAAATAAAGAAATTATGGTAAAGTCTAACCAATGGTGACGAAATAACAACAAAATATAAACAGAAAATCAAAAGAAAAGGAAGAAATTCTAATCACATGTTTTATTTACAGTGTGGGGTGAAAATAGAGAAGTTTGCACAATACATACTTTTGGTCGAGTTTTCGACCTCGGGGCGAGCTCTCGTCTTATATACTAAAAAACTTTTGCAAATCTTATGACAGCTAGTCTGGCCATACTACTAGGCCGAATTACACCATTATTCATTATTGGTACCGAATGAAAGATATTTTCCTATAGATGTGCAGAATCCTTTTATAAATTAAAATAGGCTAAAAAATAAGCACAAAAAATGAATTTTAATTTTTTTAAAATAACATTGGCCTTATGAGTTGCTATGCTGGTGACAAAATAAAAACAAAATATGAACAGAAAATCCAAACAAATTCCAATCACATGTTTTATTTACAGTGTGGGGTGAAAATAGAGAAGTCTGTACATTACATATTTTTGGTTGAGTTCTCAACCACTGGACGATTTCTATTTTACTATTTTATCACACGGAGTCGTTCAAAGAAGGAATCGTCTGTGGCAGTTAGATTAATGTATCTGCAATACTAAAATGATATGGGAAGGGAGGGAAAAAGGTCCATGAACAGGTCCACAACTTGGTGAAGGTAGGTTTAATGTAAATGCGAGCCACGTGGAGTGTGGGAAACGTCTGTGGCAGTTGGATTAATGTATCTGCAATACTTAAATGCTATGGGAAGGGAGGGGGACAGGTTCAGAACGTAGGATGTGTTGTAGGCAGTACAATATGTTAAAATAATTAATTGTTCTTGCTGTAAAGGCAAGCAGTGTAGAGTGTAGAGACTATTTGTGGCAGTTAGATTAACGTTTCTGCTGTACGTAAATGCTATGGGAAGGGAGGGAAACTGGTCCAGAACGTAGAAGTAGTAAAGGCGAGCAGTGCAGGGTAAAAGAACCGTTTGTGGAAGTTAGGTTAATGTTTCTGCAATACTTAAATTCTATGGGAAGGGAGAAAAACAGGTCCACGACTTTGGAAGTGGTGAAGAAAGTAGTAATGGCAAGCATCTATGAGTGTTGGGACCATTTGTGGCAGTTGGATTAAAGTATCTGCAATACTTAAATGCTATGGGGAGGGAGGAAAACAGGTCCACGACATTGGGAATGGTGAAGGAAGTAGTGAAGGCGAGCAGTGGGGAGTGTAGGAACCGTTTTTGGGATATAGATTAACGTAAACAAAAAATGAATCTAAAATTTAAAAAAAAACTTAATATGGGCCTTATGGGTTGCCATGTTGGTGATGAAATAACAAAGAAATATTAACAGAAAATCAACACAAATTGAAGAAATTCCAATCACATGTTTTATTTACAGTGTGGGTTAAAAATAGAGAAGTTTGCACTATATATAGTTTTTGGTAGAGTTTTCGACTATGGGCCAGCTTTGTATAGAACGAGAAAAATTTTTAGGAAAAAATCAAAATAATTTTCCTTTTTGTGTTTTGTTATACAAGTATACATAAAATAAACACAATGGAACATTTACTGTCAAAATAATTTTTTACTCGGTTTTAACTTTGCGGATATATCCGCTACCCGTCCGCGGATGAGTAGAAAACCAGCGGATATATCCGCCACCCGTCTTTGAAGATATGACCATGACTAACGTTAGGCAATAAATGAAGAACGATTTGTAAACAATAAATAAAGACAACATAGTGTTGAGCACGAAACGTCGAGGGGGGAGCGTAGGAGAAGTATAGAAAGAAAACCTTATTAATAAAAAATTAAAAAATTCTTTCGCCATTTTTTTGCCCAGTAAAATTGTCTACACAAAAAGTGGTAACTGTATAATCAAAGTGTAAAATAAAATAAAAAAAAAATTATAAAGATAAAAATTGTTTAAACAATTTTTTAAAGTAAACTTGATTTACAAATTCCAAGATTAATCCAGACACCAAAGGACACTACTATTATAATTAAAGTTCAATTGATTCCCTACATAGAAATCACAAGATGTTTACTTTTATAATAATAACATAGAAAAGAAATTGTTTGTTTTAGCCTAACCCAGCTGGTTTTGGGTGTTATCTGGTTTTCATATGCCCACCCTTGTTTGTTATATAAAAAAAAACCACCCTACTCTGTGCTGCGCTGCTGACTGTCTCAATATGCACCGGGCCTTAATCAGCCACCGGGCCTGCAGCCAGTAACGCTCGTAAGTCTAAGTCGGCGCCAATGGGTTGTACACAGGCAGATATCTGGAAGGGTTTTGGAAAAAAAATTTATTTTTGATTTTCTCTTCATTTAGACCCAAAGAACCATTTCCCAGAGTTTTGGCTGTTTACTTACGGGACATCCTATATATAAATTTGAACAGATAGTGTTTTTGGCCTCTGGGGACATCAAAACGAAAAAGTAAATAGGTCCCGGGTCCAGGTCTTACGTCTTACCATGAGACCTACGGTAATAGCATAAGCATAATGGGGCCTGGGTGAAAAAAGTCAATCTAGTGTGAAAGTGAGTGGCAATGAAGATGATAGGGCAACCAAGGGTAAAGATAGTAGCTTAAGCTATAGTTTTTTAGAAAAACGGTCTCAAGTCAATATTATAGTGTAGCTTCTGGGCAATCGTATACTCCTACTCGATTAAATCTTCTTCAGGTAAATATTCAATGTATGAGAAATAAGTTACTTGAACTTGAAAGCTTCTGTGAGGAAAATAAAATATACATAATATGTCTCTCAGAACATTTGCTTACTTCTGAGGAATTAGAGGTTTTTACACCACATGGTTACGTTCCCGGTAGTTTTTTTATTAGAAAAAATTTCAAAAACGGAGGTGCAGGAATTTTTGTTAGAGAGGGGATTGAATTCTGTAAATTTGATATGAGTAAATTTAGTTCAGAAATAGACATAGAACTTAGCTGTGTTAAAATAATTAAAGACAATTTGTATGTTATATCATTGTATAGGTCACCTCGTGGCAAACATAGATATATTTTTTGAGAAATTTGAATTAGCCGTGAAGAAGGTTTTATCGAGGGGGACCAAAGTTATCGTCTGCGGAGATTTTAACATAGAAATGATAACAACTGATAACAACAACTCAATTTTGTTTTTGAACTTATTAAGATCAATTATTAATTTATACTGTACTTATTCCTCACCCACCAGGAACAATGCCTGTTTGGACAACATTTTAGTTAACTTCTCCCAAGATCTGTATGAAGTTACCTCAGCTGAGGGTCACTTTGCGGACCATACTCCACTCCTTTTCACTTTAATATCTAATATTTCATATACCAGTAAAAACTGTAAAACATCACAACAAACTTCTTATTACAGATCATAGAATAATAATGTTATCCAGATATTTACTAATGAATTAATAAAAAGAGAAGTGGAGTATGGTCGAAGAGCACAAAAACACACTGTTTGATTTAACTAAGGCATTTGATTGTGTACCGCCTATCAATATCCTTACTAAACTTAACTTTTATCGTGTTTCTGGCGACTCCTTAAAATTAATTGAATCATACTTAATGAACCGTAAGCAATATGTAAATATTATGGGTGCTCTCTCATCATTGTGTGATGTCTCCTTGGGAGTACCGCAGAGCTCGGTTCTCGGACCATTTCTCTTTATTGTAATAATAAATGATCTTCCCAAAAATGTAGGTGTAAATTCTATTATCTATGCAGATGATTCCACGTTTTTTACTTATAGTAAAAACCTTGACCTCTTGGAGGCCAGAATAACCTCAGCTCAAAACCAAGCACAAGAATGGTTCTCAGCTAACAAACTGCTGTGTAATGAGACTAAAACTCAGAATATTTTGCTCAGTCTTTCACAAAATCAAAACTATCAATCAAAATCAATCATCGATCTAAATAAATCTCTAAAACTGCTGGGAATTCACATAGACTCAAAGCTCACATGGAATGACCATGTTGTAAATTTGTGTAAAAAACTCTCAAGGGTCAATTGTTTGTTCTGGAAACTGAGCTCCATAATCTCTACTGACTATCTGAGGACTGCCTATTTCGGACTCTTTCAGTCTCATATTGCTTATGGTCTCATACTTTGGGGACACTCTGCAAATGTCTCAGATGCCCTAATTCTTAAAAAAAGTTATTAGAACCATTTGTCAAGCCAGGCCTGGAGATCATAGTAGATGTATTTTCAAACAATTGAAGATTACTACAATTATTAACTTATATATTTATCATGTATTAATATTCACAAAAACAAATCTAAATTCTTTTTTATTAGACATGAGGTACACAATCACAATACCAGGAATAAAAACAAACTTGAAATCCCTCAACATAGGTTAACAAAGTTTGGAAATTCTTACATGGTAAATTGTGTTAAATGTTTTAATAAGCTTCCCGATAATGCTCACACCACTCCTCTTAAAGGCTTCAAAATTAAGTTGTATCAATGGCTTCTAGACAATCCATTCTTTACTATTAATGAGTTTATGGCCACCAACATAGATAATATATTTTAAGTTTTCAAATTAATGATAAGCATTAACTTTTGTTTGTTTGCATTAAGTTTAACAATTTGATTAATTTGATGTTTATGAAGCTGTTGTTTGGGTACTAGGCTGGAGTTGCTACTTTAGTTTTAATTTAAATATATTTAGATATAGTTGATGTAATTGACTGTATATATTTATGTTGACCATGCCCATCTCATGTAAAAATGATCAGTGGCAATAATAAATATCTTATGTCTTATATGTCTTATGGGAATAATCCCTGTATGGGAAATTCGCTAAAACAATGGGTATTTGTTAAAATTTAATTTCACATTTTCTTAAATGGGAAGTTTTTACCAATATCCAAAAACTTTACAAGCTTTATTAGCTGTTTTTCATTGATCATAATGAAAAGTTTTTATGAAATATATATTTTTAATCAGACTACACTTGGTGGTTAGTTCTTCATACTTGTTTTGCAGTTTTCCTACCTTTATGTAGGAATAAAGGTTAATATCCATTTTTGATCAATTATCTAGTATTAAAGAAGAATATCCAAAACTGATTTAATTTGTCATTGGATAACACACAAACAGGGCATAAAATAACATGTTAACTGGGCGACACAATTGTCGCCCAGTGACTATGGGTGGAGCCGGCATATTTTTTGTAATGATTCACATTTTAAATGTATCAGAATTTAAAAAAACACATTAGCCTATGTAAATATTTTTGAGTATTGGGCTATGATTTTGGCCCAGGAGGTTGTAATGGGACTGGGAGCCTTGGCCTGTTACAACGTTCTAGAATTTGTAATTAAGTGAGATTATATGGACTATTTACAAGCAAATGTAATCAAAAAATTCAATAAAGATATGTAGAAATCTGTTATTTTCACTTTAATTTAAGCAAAAATTTCCAGGGGGGAACCCTAGCCCACAGACCCCCCAGTAAATCTGGCACCACTGTCACCCAGTGGAAATCCCTTAAAATATGCTCTGCACACAAACCTAAGTCATAACACTTGCTTGGCATCCTTGAGCCACAGTGACTACTGACAATGATAGACAACACTGCACAGGAACAATACAAAAGTTACCATTGACTTTGGATACTGCAAGTGACCTTCTGAAGTCTTTTTATGTGTGTTTTTTTTATATAAACAATAACTCTTCAGACTGTTTATGACGAATAACGCTTACTGTCTTGCTGTAAATTGGAATACCTGATTTAAAAACGAAAATTTTACAGTGTAGCCTACATTAAATTCTTTGATTACAATTGCAGGATAAACAGTACTGTAGTTACAAATCGATCAATTGTCAAGTGGAATATGGCGGATGTATTATGTAAGGGATCTTACTAGTAGACTAAGATAATGAGTAAGTAAGCTCCTTATATCAAGGTATTTTGATTTAGCGTACGATCTAGAGAGTTTGGCTGAACACCTAGACTGGGTAGAGCTGAAGACCCTAGACTACCATGGTTCTTGGGAAAAAAGAACAGGACATGTTTCACCTCTATACTATGCTGCAGGCGATAACTCTCCCATTACGAACGTTGTAAGTGTACGTTAAAAAATAATACAAGCATATTTTTAAAAGCCTTAAGAAGGAATATTGAAGCCCTAAACATTTTCAATCTGTTAAGAGTCCTTGTTGATAAGTAGGGTGAACCACTATTGTAGGGTTGATAAGGTGACTTTTTTTTATTTAGTTATGAATGTAATGGGTTGCCAAGAGGGTTTCACCATTGCATATACATTACACTATATATATATATATAAGTTATAACTTAGAATGTATTACGATCAAGGCTAGCTATGATTAAAATTGGAAGGGGCAAGGGCAAGTATTGATAAGTGCCAACTGGTGCCACCCCTTGCATTCATGACGGAAACTACTTTTGTTGTTTAAACTCCTCTAAAGATGTTTTAAAATTATAATATTTTGTGCACATATGGTTTAGCTGTTGCCCATACCCTTACAATAAATGAAATGATTTATTGTCGTTAAAACTATGTACAAAGTTCATGACAATCGTCAAAAGAAAAACAAAACAATCAAGATGGCTCTGGCAACTAAAATAACTAAAACTCTAAACCAAAGTACTCTTCATGTTTATACAGGCAAACCTGGGTTAAAGTAGTTTTTTAAAATGTTATTCTTAGGTTGTCGGTTACTCATCACTAAAATAAATTAATCACAATTTACTAAAAAATGTCGAGGTATATTTCAAGTTTACATCAAAACTCATCTTCAGCCTCTAGTAACAACATATCAAGTAAATAAACTATGATTTATAATGTTTGTTTATAAATTAATTAACATATGTTTGAATTATTTTAAAATTAAGTTAGTAGGGAAAAAAATTTTCTATGTATATATTATGTAGATGTCACAGTTAATTTATTATTGTTTTTCCAATTTTAATTTTGTTCTCAACCTCTTCTCGAATTAAAGGTATAAACATAGGGCTGATTGTAGCACTAGGTTGGGATATGCTTCTTTTATCAACCGCCATGCAAGCAGCTTCTTTAAGATTTCTTAATTTCCAGTCTGCTTCCTGGTAGATCATAGTTGATTCAGACCAATGTATTCTATGTTCTTCAGAGAAAACATGTTCACTTACTATGATAGTGGTTTTAAATCACAGGTCCGTCACGTAGGAAGTGGTGAAGGAAGTAGTAAAGGCGAGCAGTTTGGAGTGTGGGAACTGTTTATGACAATTAGATGAAGATATCTCCAATCATAAAATGCTATGGGAAGGGAGGATAACGGGTCCGCGACGTAGGAAGTGACGAAGGAAGTAGTCAAGGCAAGCTGTTCGGAGTGTGGGAACTGCTTATGACCATTATATTAAGGTATCTGCAATCATAAAATTCTATGGAAAGGGAGATGAACAGGTCCGTGGCGTAGGAAGTGGCGAAGGAAGTAGTAAAGGCGAGCAGTCCGGAGTGTTGGAACTGTTTATGACGATAAGATTAAGGTATCTGCAATCATCAAATGCTATGGGAAGGGAGGAAAACGAGTCCGCGACGTAGGAAGTGATGAAGGAAGTAGTCTAGGCAAGCTGTCTAGAGTGTGGAAACTGCTTATGACCATTATAGTAACGTATTTGCAATCCTATGATGCTATGGGAAGGGAGGGAAACATGTCCGTCATGTAGGAAGTGGTGAAGGAAGTAGTAAAGGCGAGCAGTCCGGAGTATGGGAACTGTTTATGACGATTAGATGAAGATATCTGCAATCATAAAATGCTATGGGAAGGGAGGATAACGGGTCCGCGACGTAGGAAGTGATGAAGGAAGTAGTCAAGGCAAGCCGTCCGAAGTGTGGGAACTGTTTATGACGATGAGATTAAGGTATCTGCAATCATAAAATGCTACGGAAATGGAGGGAAACAGGTCCGTGGCGTAGGAAGTGGCGAAGGAAGTAGTAAAGGCGAGCAGTCCGGAGTGTTGGAACTGTTTATGACGATAAGATTAAGGTATCTGCAATCATAAAATGCTGTGGGAAGGGAGGAAAACGGATCCGCGACGTAGGAAGTGGTGAAGGAGGTAGTCAAGGCAAGCTGTCCGGAGTGTGGGAACTGTTTATGACGATTAGATTAAGGTATCTGCAATCCTATGATGCTATGGGAAGGGAGGGAAACAGGTCCGTCACGTAGGAAGTGGTGAAGGAAGTAGTAAAGGCGAGCAGTCTGGAGTGTGGGAACTGTTTATGACAATTAGATGAAGATATCTGCAATCATAAAATGCTATGGGAAGGGAGGATAACGGGTCCGCGACGTAGGAAGTGACGAAGGAAGTAGTCAAGGTAAGCTGTCCGGAGTATAGGAACTGTTTATGACAATTAGATTAAGGTATCTGCAATCATAAAATGCTATGGGAAGGGAGAGAAAAGGTCCGAGACGTATGAAGTGGTGAAGGAATTAGTAAGGTGAGCAGTGGAGTGTGGGAACTGGAAACCGTTTGTAGCAGTTAATTTAATGTATCTGCAATGCTGAAATGCTATGAGAAGGGATGGAAGCATCCCCACGACATAGAAAATGGTGGAAGAAGTAGTAAAGGCTAGCAGTGCGGAGTGTGGGGAATGTTTGTGGCAATTAGATTAACGTATCTGAAATACTAAATTGCTATGGAAAGTGATGAAAACAGGTCCACGATGTAGAAAAAGGCTTAGAAAGTAGTAAAGTTTATACTTTAATCTAACTACCACAGACGGTTTTCACACTATGCTCATGCATAGTGTGAAAACCGTCTGTGGCAGTTAGATTGATGTATCTTTAATCCAAAAATGCTATGAGAAGGGAAGAACAAGCCTATGACGTAGGAAATGGTGAAGGAAGTGGTAAGGCTTGCAGTGCAGAGTGTGGGAAATGTCTTTGGCAATTACATTAATATATCTGCAATCCTAAAATGTTATGGGAAGAGAGGGAAATACGTCCACGACGTAGGAGGTGGTGAAGGAAGTAGTAAAGGTGAGGTGTTGAGTGTGGGAATGGATTAATGTATCTGCAAAGCTAAAACGCTTTGGGAAGAGTCTGTAGACTGTAGGTTAAAATAATTTCGAATCACGAATCGATACATATTTCGATACATGCAATCGTTTATAATAGAAATTTACAACTGAGTTGACAACAGCTGATTTTTACTCCATAGAGGATAAAAACTATTTTCACTCCATAGAGGATAAAAACTTTTTTTACTTCCTAAAGCGTAAAATTGCTACTTTAGACCCGCAACGCATGCATTAAAAAACGACTGGTATTACTGCAGTATGACCAAAACAATATAATATAAACCCTTGATGACTCCGCTCTATTTTGTGGATGCCTCTGCGAACGCCACCTAGTAGTCTCTTCTCCATAGGTCGTGATGTTTGCCCGTAATAACTTCTTCCACATTGGTCTGAATCAACTATGATCTACCAGGAAGCAGACTGGAAATTAAGAAATCTTAAAGAAGCTGCTTGCATGGCGGTTGATAAAAGAAGCATATCCCAACCTAGTGCTACAATCAGCCCTATGTTTATACCTTTAATTCGAGAAGAGGTTGAGAACAAAATTAAAATTGGAAAAACAATAATAAATTAACTGTGACATCTACATAATATATACATATAAAATTTTTTTCCCTACTAACTTAATTTTCAAATAATTCAAACATATGTTAATTAATTTATAAACAAACATTATAAATCATAGTTTATTTACTTGATATGTTGTTACTAGAGCGGTGGGGCACACGGAAGATTTCTCAGGTGCCGTTTGACGTCACTAACTGCTGAGTCTGAAGAAACAGACAATTTTATAATTTTCTATTATTAAATTAAACTGTCATAACCTAACCAAACTAACCAAACGTGCTGATAAAGGAAAAATCGATTAAAGGTTTACTAATCTAAAAAATAGTTTTATTCATAAAATAAAATTATAATTGCCTAAAAATAAATTTTATAATTTTTTAGTTATAAAATTAAACTGTCATAACCTAACCAAACCAACCAAACTTGCTGATATGAAAAAATTGTTGATAAAAAGTTAGTGCCGCCGGCGGAATTCGAACCCGGAACAATCGGATTATCAGCCCGCAACGCTATCCACTGCACCACCGAGGCCGATGGTTCAAAATCGTATCGTTGCGGTATTGGTGTTCCCTCAAAGTGACGTCAGCAGTTAGTGACGTCAAACGGCACCTGAGAAATCTTCCGTGTGCCGTTTCGGTTACTAGAGGCTGAAGATGAGTTTTGATGTAAACTTGAAATATACCTCGACATTTTTTAGTAAATTGTGATTAATTTATTTTAGTGATGAGTAACCGACAACCTAAGAATAACATTAATAATGCCATCACGAAGGAAAAAACATACCGGAATGAATTAGTTTTTAAAACTTGTTTCAATTTTAAAACACACAGGTTTTTGATGGATGCAGGCAAGAAATTGTACATTTTAACACCTTGGTACTCAAAACGATTTTGAGTGGCTTTATACTTTTTATGCCTCAGTGTAGACAGATTATCTTTTGATCTAGTACAATAGTTGTGCACATCAGATATCTTTTTTAAAGTGAGAAATGTTTTCTTTTACATACAACAAACTTGCCAAAACATACAAAGATGGAAATGTGAGAATGTTAAGACCCACAAAAAGGGGCTTACAATGTGTTCTTCTATTCACACTACAAATTAACCTCACTGCCTTCTTTTGTAAAGTAAAAAGCAACCTGTTAGCATAAAAACTGTTGGCCCACAGTGTGGTACCAGGACAAATAGCTATGAATGTGCCCATAATATATACAAATAAGGACATAATTTGAAACAGTGGACCTAAGTGCTCTTATCATAAATATGCCCTTTACAATCTTAGATGCTACAAAATCTACATGTGAAAACCACTTCAAGTTTGACTGCAAATGAAAACCCAAAAACTTCAGAGTGTTTACATCATTACCATTACTGCTAAGACTAATAGTCAGGTCTTGAGTCTTATCAGCATTAAGACATAACTTGTTTGCATTACACCAGTCATTAATAACAGCAGATTTTGTATCCAATGTATCTGTAACGTCATTCAAAGAGTTATAGGCCGTACACACAAGGCCAAGTCATCAGCAAAAAGAAAGCTTTTAACAGATAAGTCATTACATTACAAGGTAAGTCATTTATATACAGTATAAACAGGGTAGGGCCCAATATAAAGCCTTGGGGCACTCAAACAGGGCTAGAATAAGTGCCGTTTAGATAGACTTTTTGCCATCTGTCACTAAGATAAGATTGAAAAAACCTAACCAATAAGATTATTCTCTGTCACATTCCTCTTCCCGTCTACTTAACCAATTTTTACGGTTGAGGTGTCATTAAGTTTATGATCCAGCGGAGGGACAAATAGTTATTAAAACAGTAATTTCCTTTAGAGCCTCGCCCCCCTGAGCATCTAAATTATTTCAAGACTTCCATTTCAATGATTCAGTGATGCTGACAGAATTTCTTTATCTTGGTTTTAAACGTGAATCATAATTTAATAACAGATCCTGATCCTTCGCAGTGTTGAATGTTTAACTACAGTCAGATAATAAGCCAATAACGATAGAGTTATTGAAAACAGATTTTAAATAGCCTAGGCTACTTTCAGTGATAATTGTAACACCTGATTGAGGTATCCAAATCAATCTTTATGGGGAAGATATAAAATCAATAAACTTAATTTTTTGATTAGTAGGCCTAGCTTTTTTCACATCTGTTTCAAGTGAAAGTGTTTCATTTCACAACTGTTTTAAACAAACATAATCTTCAAAAAAGGGGATTAAATTATTTGTTTTTCCTCCTAAACAAGTTTAGAACTTTTTAAATAAGCAATTTGCACACGGGACCCCTCGCAAATACTTAGGTACAGAAAATTCAAGCAAATAAAAGGCCTTTAAGTAAAAGTTAGTATTCTCAAAACACAAAATGATACAAGGCGTATTTAACTATAACAAAAAAATCCTGTAATTTTTTTTTGTCATCTACCTAGCTAAATATAACGGAATAACGTTTTGATTCCTCTTCTCTGACTAATAATAATTTTGTCAGTTCTTTTTCCATACCTGTTGTAGTAAACACACAGTCACGTTTTAGATTTGTTTTCTTGTTGCAGAACTTTTCAGTGCAATACTGGCTGACTACAGGGTTCCCAAAGGAGAAACTGATACTAGGGCTGCCTACCTATGGGAATTCATTTACACTTGAGAGTGCCTCGAAGGTGAATTTGGGAGTGTCTACAACGGGGCCTGGCAATGCTGGACCTAATACAGGATCACCAGGGACCCTTGCATACTATGAGGTAATCCTTGGAGAATGGTCGGTATTAGCCACAATAATGTAACCTGTACAACAGGGCCTAGCAATGCTGGACCTAATACAGGATCACCATAGGGACCCTAGCATACTATGAGGTAATCCTTAGATAATGGTCAGTATTAGCAATAATGATGTCACCTCTACAAAAGGACTTGGCATTGCTGGACCTAATACAGGATCACCAGGGGATACGCTAGCATACTATGAGGTAATCCTTACAGAATGGTCAGTATTAACCATAATAGAGTGAAAGTTTTGAAACGTACATTTTCAGGAAAAGCACTTTTAAAATTTTTTGTTCCGTTTTTTGAAACACTTTTATTATTATCTATTATATTATTAACCCTTTGAGTGCCAACGTCCGGGGAACCGGACGTTTTTAAAACGAGCCAAAAGTGCCAACGTCCGGCTGACCGGACGTTTCGTAATGATCGAACAGTTGTCATAACAACCGAATGGATACTCGGATTTTTTTAACCCATATATTAACATTGAGTCGAAAGTTACTAGATGCGATACATTGATTTTCGTTGGTCAAAATATCGAAAATTCGATTTTTACGAAATTTTAACCTAAAAATCACCAGATCGCGCTCGGCATTCTTAGCGCGACCTTCGGGAAAAATCATCGGCATTTTTTGAGCGTTACTTTTATTTCTCGCCTGGCACTCTAAGGGTTAAAATGATACAATCAAATTTTATGTAAGCGGTTAAGGCCATTTACCAAATAAAAATATAGGCATATTGCATATCAAAATGAAGCTTAGAGTGTGTAGATTTGCCGAAAAGTATTGATATGGAGGAACTCCCTAAGGGCTCTGCCCCACAGGCTGATTTATAATGGCCTACGCCTTGCATGTTTTGAAGTTAACGCTATTCGAATAATTTAGTGAACAACAGCTGGCCAATGCAATTGACAATATAGGTAGTTTATTTGTTTACATTTTTGGTTACTTTATTTATTGTCCTTAAAAGAGGTGCGGTGAATTAACATATGAGACTAACAATCAATGTATGTTGTTCGTTCCAAGAGGTTGTCACCGCCATTTCATTGATAAAAGACGTCGTGAAAGAGAGCGGCGAGTTCAGGTACAACCACGAATACTAGAAGTAATCGTGGGTACAACCGTACCCACCTTGGCCACCTTAGGACGTAAGATATGAAGGTTTCACTGCTATTAACATCCTTTCAGATGAGAGTTTCTCGAACTTGGGTCCTTTAAATGAAATTCTAAAGTCAAAGTTGATTAAAATAATTTAATGGTGGCTTCTGTACCCCCGTGAATTCGCAGGTAGAACCTCTTGTTTTTTTTTATTTCATTAACATTTGAAGTTTCATAAAATGTCCATGGTAGCGCAATATCTTTGGTGATTTTTTATTAATAAAGCATCTTTGATGGAAAAACACGAAATGTTGTCACGACCATCACGAATATAAATCTGAATATTAAAAATAGTTAGTATTATTTTTATAACTATGATTTGCTATAAATTAATTTACTTTTAGGGCCATTATACAAAATACAGCTCACTAAGCTTTTGGTGTATTTGGTCTTTCTAGAAAAAAAACTCAAAAAATTAAAAAAAAACCCTCAATAAAATCTATGTTTGTATAACTCCGAAAAACTTACCTGAGACCCGAAAAATCATTATGTTTTTATAGAGGTGTGCTTCTTTTGTGTATAAAACATTAAAATATGATGATATTTAAATTTTTGAAATTTTTATGATAGAAATCATAAACGTGATGGTCTGGGACAAGCGGTACGGTCGTGAATTGTCTGGAATAGTCTAAATCTTTCTAAACAATCCTTCAATTATATTGTTAGTTATAATAAAAATATGTGTTTCAATTGAACTAAACTGTTCAATTTAAACGATATTTAAGTTATTGTCACGACCAAACACAGTATAATCCATAAGGCTGGATTGGTCGTGAATAAAACCCGCGATGGTCGTGAAACTTTGTTCGTGACATTACGTGTTATTTTGGCTCTGTTCTGGCGGTAGCCCTGCACCTCATGTTCGAGGATACAAAGTGGACTTCTAGGTTAATCTAGCAATTGAAATATCTTATAAACAAAAATTAACACCATGTCTACTTCATCAAATGACTACGTACGGTCATGGACACACCAAAATTACAAAAAACACAAACTTGCCTTTATTAATCTTGTAATTCCTCCTTTGAACTCGAAATGACCGGCACTACAATCCTGACGTACACCCCGAATTAGTCTCTAAAACCAACTGACTCCATCGACGCCAGGCTTGCCACTGTCGTGCTCCAACGTTGCAAATTTTTCCCTAATGGTCGTGACGTCAAATCGAGGGACAGACCTATTTAGTCATGGTAGTCAGTTTATAATGAAAACAAAATTGTCATATGCTCCTTTTTCGTAAGTTTAATAACTGTTGATGTAATAAAAATATGACATTATATATTTCGGCATGAATAATTATTCTAAAAACAGCATGAAAGTTGCAAAAAGTACCCTAGGGACACGTAACGGTCGTGAGTTTCGAGACTTTAAAAATACAAAAAAAAAATACTTTGAACCTATTTAAAGCCAAATAATTGTGTGTAACATGTTGCCCCTGTCCCAAAAATATTAAAACACATAATGATAAACTACATATTCAGTATCTACGAAGTAAAAGGCTAGGGACATAAAAACGTACGTTTCAAAATTTTCACTCAATAATGTAACCTGTACAACAGGACCTGGCAATGCTGGACCTAATACAGGATCAGCAGGGACGCTAGCATACTATGAGGTAATCCTTAGAGAATGGTCGGTCCTAACAGCACCAGACATCCATTGAATATTCAAATTGGTTGAAATATGTCTAAAGATATCTACATGTAATTAAATATATTTTTAAAATATCTTATCTAAGAAATCTGTAAAATATCTGTTAAGATATTCTTTAGATATTTAATAGATATTAAAAGGTTCACAGTAGATACTTATATATAGTGGTAGTAGTATAGCTGCATATAGTGGCAGAATATTTCAGTTCTGGCGGAGAGGCTGCAATTTTAGGTGGTTATAGTATACAAGTTTCTGAAGCTAAAACCGCCCAGACCCCAATTTTTAAGGACCTCGGTCGTCCGTAATGACGTCATCAAAATGGCGGCCATAAGAGAATGCTGGGTCCCCATGAATTGGCTATAACGACCGAATGCCTGAACCGATTTTCATTAAATTTGGCACACAAGTGCTTGAATACATTATCTCGGCCTGGGTTGAAAATGGTCAAGTTTCATCAAGTCATTTCAAAAAGGCGGCTGTTCAAAACTAAAAAAATATGAGGAAAATAATTGTGAATTGTTTTATACAGGGTGAGTTTTAAATGAGTTCCCACCCTACCTTTTTATACATTTCTTAAGATATCAACTCCGAACCACGTCAGATCATTGTAGAGTAGCAAGTACTTCATTTTGACTGGGTTTAAATTTTTGGCCGCCATCTTGGATCCACCATATTTGATACAAAGTTATTTTTTCAAATGTAAAGGTAGGGTTGTGACCCACCGTTTCAAACAAGACTTTTACGCTTTATACGATGCTGCAATCCATTTAAAAAAATGTTGATCCATTCTAAAGTTATGAGACTTTTTATAACTTTATTTTTTTAGTCCATTATAACATTGTGCATTTACAAACTAAGGCCATAATCTCAAAATAGATGATAGATTATTCTATAAGTTTTTTGTTATCAACCTTTCTTGATAAAATATTACAATTATTTGTATTTAAAATGTCAGTATTTCAAAAACCAAATATGACAATGAAAAACGGATTGCGGCATTGAATTCAGCATGAAAAAGTAGTTCAAAATGCTGGGTCACAACACCACCTGCATATTTAAAATAATTTATCACATTTCAAAATGGCGGATCCAAGATGGCGGCCAAAAAAATACATCTGTCATAAACTGTAGTGTTTACTTATCTTTATCTAGCACTATTTTGAGATTATGGCCTTAATTTGTAAATGCACAATGTTATATTAGACTAAAAATAAAGTTATAAAAAGTTCTCATAACTTTAGAATGGATCAACATTTTATAAAACGGATTGCAGCATCGTATACAGCGTAAAAGTTTTGTTTGAAACGGTGGGTCACAACCCTACCTTTATATTTGAAAAAATAACTTTGTACCCAATATGGCGGATCCAAGATGGCGGCCAAAAATTTAAACCCAGTCAAAATGAAGTAATTTTCAACCCAGGCCGAGATAATGTATTCAAGCACTTGTGTGCCAAATTTAATGAAAATCGGTTCAGGCATTCGGTCGTTATAGCCAATTCATGGGGACCCAGCATTCTCTTATGGCCGCCATTTTGATGACGTCATTACGGACGACCGAGGTCCTTAAAAATTGGGGTCTGGGCGGTTTTAGGTTCAGAAACTTGTATACCATAACCACCTAAAATTACAGCCTCTCCGCCAGAACTGAAATATTTTCCTGCTACACAACCTGACTAATAATGTTTAGTTACAATATCCTAAAAATATTGTACATATATTCAGTACTAGATATCTACGAACAGATATCCTGTAAATATCAATTCTACATTGACAATTGGAGATTGATTATAAATAAAGACGATAAATGCTGATAATTGCATTATTGTCTCATCAAGAATATTGAATGTTACAGTTAGCCTTATTAAAACACAGGATCTAAAGTCATCCAACAAATCAACAAACACTAATCAAATCAAAACTTAATTGTAGTTTTATGTGGTTATTTTGGTGGAATGAATTATAGTATGTTGTCTCCGTTAACCTTATCCGTGCTACGCGTTAAAAATCAAATCATTTTAATCAGCCTAAAATGGACAGTAAATTGCATTAGCGGTGTTTACGAGAATTACTATACTTTTCCAAAGGGGGTGTTTCATTAAGTCAGACTATTTCAGTCAGAAGGGAAGAAATGGGCATTACACCAGGTATTATAGAATAACACAAGTC